CAAACAAATAAATAAGATATAATAAGAAATAACAGGGGGGCGATGATAACTTCCTCAATGGCTCAAGGGGGCGTTTCTTTCAAAAAGGTTAAGAACCACTGGCTTAGATTATCTGCAAGAGTGGATTGGATTTAAATTGATTTTAAATTTTAAAAATCGAATATTTTTATTTAAATGTTTTAATGGCTTAAATTAATTTGATTTTTAAACGCCCTGCTATCAGCATGATCCACATATGAAACACTAAAATACTAGTCCTCTAGCAGCTATCTCACTCATCTTCACCTTATTTGTTCATAATCTGGAAAAGAACATCAAGCTTTCCTGCTTTATTGATGTACAAATGATTTCACAATTTAGAATGACTCCAAAAGAATATCTATTCTGTGTTGGCAGAAGAAGCTACTGCTGTTAAAATTGAAATAATTACTTCAACAGTCCAAGTTGAATTATTTCAACAGTCCAATAATTACTTCAGCAGTCCAAGTGCTTAAGTGACTTCCACTGGTGTGACTTTCTTTGAAACATCATCAGCAAAAGTATATATTTCTTGAATGGCTCGCCTTACCTCTGAAGAAGCTACTGCTGTTAAAATTGAAATAATTACTTCAACAGTCCAAGTTGAATTATTTCAACAGTCCAATAATTACTTCAGCAGTCCACGTGCTTAAGTGACTTCCACTGGTGTGACTTTCTTTGAAACATCACCAGCAAAAATATATTCCTTGAATGGCTCCCCTTACCTCTGAAGTTTATTATAGTTGACAGGAGAGATGGATGATTGCTGGATATCCATGTCATAGCCAAGTCCTCTTCTTCAGCACTCAAGGGTTGACCCTGGTACCAGGTATTGACAATGGTTGTGAGAAAATAAGCTGGAGACAGTGCTTGTCCCATACATTTTTAAAAGCTTGTAATTTAATTCTGTCAGTGTGTAGTTCTGTTTTTAAGTGCTCACTCAGCTCCTTCCAAACAGCATCAGCAATGAAACAGTTATTTCTGTATTTTGTTAAAGCATCAGAAATGGGTTTCAGGATACTCAGCATATGTTCAACATTTCTCTTAACCTCAATGTTGAGGATTTTGGCTGTGACGCTGCCATCTATTTTTTCTTGATTTTGCTCACAAATTGTAATCAGAATAGGCTAGTTTTTGATAAATGTTGAGGATTTTGGCTGTGACGCTGCCATCTATTTTTTCTTGATTTTGCTCACAAATTGTAATCAGCATAGGCCAGTTTTTGATATACAGTGGTGCCTCGCAAGACGAAAGTAATTTGTTCCGTGAGTAGTGCTGCCTTGCAAAATGTTCGTCTTGCAATGCATTTCTATGGGAAACCTTGCAAGATGAACTATTATTTTCGTCTTGCGAGGCATTGGTCTTGCGGGAAAAATTCATCTTGTGAAGCACGGCCAGAGAAGAAGCCGTCTTGCAAGTCACCAACATGGTCACAAAACGCTTTTGTCTTGCGAGTTTTTCGACCAGCGAGGCGTTCATCTTGCGATATACCACTGTATTGTCCAAAACAGTCCACAACAGAGTTCCATTGAATGCCTTGGGGGAGTGTTAGCTTGGTTTCACCCATTCGTTTCAGAGCTGCTACTGCAAAATGAGTTATGGAATAATTTAGCAATTTCAGTGATTTTACTCTTTATTTCTGGAGCACAGAAGATTTGACTATGAGCTGCAGCAAATGAACAGTGCAAATATATGTTAGCGTTATAGTCCCTACTTTTCTAAATTTCTTCACTTCTTGGATTTGCAGCCTTGTCTGGCCAAACTATGTACTAAATATTTGAATGTTTGTTTACATGTTATTATACCTTTTGCTGCCACTTCATGGAAGTATTTTGCTCTGTATGCATTTCCTGACATGTCAGTTTGTGCAAGGAACACATTCCCGTCTTCTGTTGTAGTACAAGCAAATACAACAGTATCATTATGGATGTTACCCATCAAAAAGTAGGTTAACAATTTGACCTTCTACAGCTGTTGCACATTGTTCATACACCGTATCCAGCACTTTCCCTGCAACACATGCTCTGCTGGGTGGACTATGTCCTAGTCTCAGTGATGGAACCATGTTAATGAAGTGTGGATTTTCAGTAAGTCTAAAAGAAGAGTTTGTTGCATAAACAAACTGGGCAGTTTTTTCATCAGTTGAGTAAATTATCAGAAACATTTACAGTAGTTCCTGGATGGCTGGCTTTTTTCTTTCTTTTAGGTGCTGTGACTGAATCTCTAGTGTATCTTGGACAGATAACTCTGAAACTGTCAAACAGGAGGAGTGTGAAGTGGATAGTTTCCAGAATCCTTGAATTTGATTATGTACTCACCAAAACAAAGAAGTCAACACTTGCTGTTACTTCTTTATTTATACAGATAAAAATTAAATATTTTTTTATTCAAATTGTGAATTAAAACTTATTAACCCCGGTCAGTACTGCCAAAAAAGGTATATTTGTGTTTCAACTCTTATTTCTGTATAACAACTGTATCAAAATGACAGTAATATGCAGTAATAATTAATATAATTTGGCTTAAACATGCCATTTCCTTAAGGCAGTCGACCTGAGGAGGATCTCCAAGTTGGGAATTGGTGGCTCAGCGTTGGCCTAGCTCCGATCCTTCCTGGGAGATCGTCCTCAGAGAGTTCAGCTTGGGGAGAGTGAGTTGGCCCCGTGGAGCCTCAATTGTGGGGCTCTGCAGGGCTCAGCTGTCTCCCCAATGCTGTTTATCATCTATATGAGGGCCGCTGGACGAGGTCATGGGGGTGTGTGGAGTGGTGTGCCATCAATATGCCGATGACACGCAGCTCTACATCTCCTTTTTTCCAACTACAGTGGATGCTGTTTTGTCCCTTCAGCGCTGTCTGGAAGCTGTACTGCAGTGGATGTACAAGAATGGGCTGAGGCTGAACCCGGACAAGACGGAGGTCCTGAGGGTGGGCAGACCTACCATTGGCGCTTTGGGAAACTCCCTCTCTTTTGAGAGGTCCTGAGGGTGGGCAGACCTACCATCGGTGGTTTGGGAAACTCTCTTTTGAGCGGGTGACTCTCACCGCGAAGAGTGAGGTTCGCAGCTTGGGGATCCATCTGGACCAGGTGTTTACCATGGAATCCCAGGTGGTGTCCATGGTCCGATCCATCTGTGGCGGATTGCCCAGCGGTGTCCTATCCCGCCTCTCCTCATCTGTGGCGGATTGCCCAGCTGCGTCCTATCCCGCCTCTCCCCATGGCTGACCGCTTTGCTGAAGTCAAGATAAATTATGTCTACAGAATGTTCATGCTTGAATGTAACCTTTCCCCCAAAATAAGACAGGATCTTATATTAATTTTTGCTCCAAAAATGCTTTAGGGCTTATTTTCAGGGGATGTTTTATTTTTTTCATGTACAGCAATCTACATTGATTCAAATACAGCCATGTCATCTTCTTCTGGTTGCTGCACAATGGTGGAGGCCGAGGTTTCACTTCACTGGGGCTTATTTTTGGGGTAGGGCTTATATTATGAGCATCCTGAAAAATCATACTAGGGCTTTTTTTTCAGGATAGGTCTTATTTTTAGGAAAACGGGGTATACAAATTACTGTATTTTGGGCACCTGTGTTGTATCTACAATAGACTTCAAACAAAACTTTTCCTACTTTATGAAATAATAGTGTACTACTGTAACATTAAAGAACTTTCAAGAGCTGTCTTCTCAAGAAATTCATTAAGAGTAATTGATGGTAATTTTGCCTTAGTAGGAAAAGTATAAAACAGAGAATGCTGTCATTTAATTAGTTGATTTTTGTTTCAGAAACAAGGTGCAAAGTTACCTTCTTCAGAATTTTATTAATAATACTGCTTTCAGGTAGTTATTTTTGAATTTTAGGGATGATCATGAATGTTTCCTTATTATTTGTTCTCTTTTTCAGACATTGCTACAATACGCTGGTAATCGGGGTGCTGCAGAGCACATTTTGCCTTTATTGGAAGTATATCGAGTCGCCATTCAAAGCTTTGCCAGTGCCCGACGTTACTTAACTACAGAATGTGAAGACGTTCTTCTGGTACTTGGCAGGCTAGTCCTGTAAGTATCAGTTGAGATACTCATTATTAATTGAGAAGAAAATTTGCTTGATATCATCTTGCTGAATTTTTTAATTGCTGTATCTGCCTATCTCTGTGTTCTTGTAGGATGTGTCTTATGTGCAGGTATGTTAGAGAGCGGGAGGAAGGGTGAAGGTCATTATTGGAAGTTTAAGAAAAAACATGACTAACACACAGTAGAGTGACATTCTCCCACTATTTCTACTCTTAATTGGTGGAGCCAAAATAACAGAGATGCATCCCACAGATTTTGAGTGTCAGGCAAGCCAAGTTTGGGAATATGGTGCATAAGCTTCTTGTTTTCTTTTCCTGGTTTCTAAAGGGGGGGAAGGGAACTGGATTTGAGGGATGCATACCCTTTGTGCCAGTAATATATCCTTTCTAGGATCCATTCTGTTAGAAGAAGCACTTCCTTCTCTTTTCACAATTAGAAGACAGGACAGTACTGGATTTAAGTATGTAACCCCTGAGAGATCACCCATACCCCATTCTTTTTTTCATTAGCAAGGGATTGGGGACTGGCTTCTGAAGGTAACTTCTTCTGACCCCATCTCTCTTTTCAACTTGGAATTTTTACCAATGTCCCCTTGTTTCTTAGATTTTAGGACCCTGAACATGTTTGTATGGTGTGGTTGATATTTCTTCTTCGTGATCTCTGTGAATACACACTAATGGGTTTAGTGTGCTTGCGCAGAGAGCTTCAGAATCTTTTAGAGCAGCGGTCCCCAACTGTGAATACGGGTTGGTTCTGCCAGGGGCGGTTCTGCTGACAGCGCAGGAAAAAGGACAGGAGGCTGTTCTTCTTTTCCAACAGAATCAGTTTTATTAGTAAACAAACTCAACTCGGCTGGCTCAAAAGGGTCCATTAAACTTAACTCTGGTAACAACTTATAACTTCAAACTCACGTGTTAATTTCTTTATCTTTTTTTCTCACTGGGGGGCTGGCCCAAATCGCTCCCGATCTGTCATAGGCCGAATTGGTGTTCTGACCACGCAAACTATCCTGCAACAGGGGTGTCTCACCCCGTCCCCCTCCCGCTGGCTCTGGAGTAAAGAGGGACTGGGACAGATCACCCTCCTCCCCCCACGCTGATTGCGGGGATAAACAACCACAGTCCATTCCAAGGGGTCTATTCTTGCCCACGCGTGAAGAAATCAGGAGGTCCCTGCAGCAATCCTCCATCTGCTTGCAGATTCGGAAATTCTTTAAGCAACTTGAGGAAACTCCCCTGTCCCATGCTCCATTCTGTCTGTGCTGTTCTATCCTTTTTATCAGCCGGCTCGCTTCTCACCGCTCTGAAACTTCCCGCCTTTTCGTCCCCTTTTATATCTTCCCATATAATCAAATCTAGCTCCTCCCCTCTGTCGTCAGCCAAACACACTTCTCTAGGCTGTTGTCCTTCCCTGTCATCCTGCTCAACCTCCACTAGTATTCCCTCCACACACTCTGCTCCTCCTTCCGCTCCTTCGACTGTGGAGGACGGCTCACTCCCTTTCTCTCCTTCACACCAACCTTTTTGGAATTGTGGACCGGTTGGGAGGGTGGGCTCTGTGCGCGGGGGCACCCCCATGCTTGTGGGTGGGTGTGGTGTGCTTGCGGGTGGGCGTGTCACACTCACGCAGCATGCTCCTGCACATGTGCACAAGCGCAACATCACCCCCGTGAGCATGCCACACCCACCAAGCGGGCGGGCGGAGATCCATCTCCGTGGCTCAGTCCTGGGAAGCCCACAGACCGGCACCAAGTTGCAGACCGGGGGTTGGGGACCCCTATTCTCGAGCTGAAACACATGTTGTTAGGACCTACCTCATGTTGTGCTTGGCCCGGCCCACGGCACAGAGTGCCTCGGTTACTTTTTTGCCACTGCAGCAGCAGCAGCGCCTCAATTTAGGAGGTTCTGCTTCCTGTGAGAAAATTCTTTTTTTAAAAAAACAACAACAACATTTTATTAGTTTTTCAATCTATCTACATTGTTTTGTGCTTGTCAAACATCGTGTTACATGCTTTGCTTACAATTATTTGTTTTTTACATCTCAGTGTCTTCCCGGTTGTCCCCCCAAATTCCAAACATCTTTCAAACATTCAAACCATTCATGTACAAATTTTAGTATATAATATGACTACTATCATAATATTACTCTCATATTGTATAATATTCTCAAGGTCTTCTAATAACGTTCTTATTGAAAGTGGTTCCAGATCCATGACCCAGCTTTATATCTAGTTTAGTTTACCTAAAATAAAAAACCACCATGTTACATCTTTACCCTGATTAGGGCTCCCTTATTTCAATTTAATTCTCCTTTTTAATATACAGAATGTACCCTTTTACAATTCCCGATGTTAAATATATACATATTTTCAATATTAAGGGGCCCTTCCTTGTTTTCCCCTTTTTCATCTTTCTAGATAATTCCCTCTCTGATTTCTCTTTTTTCATTTAGTATTTCTGTGTCTCTAAGCATTCTGCCACCTTTCATGTCCTCTGAAACCATTTTGTATATCTGATTTATGTCCACTAACTCTTTATGTACTTGGTCTATTTTCAATGGATCTTCCAGGCTTTTTTTTTTTTAATTTTGCTGTT